TACTACTACTACTACTACTACTACTACTACTACTACTACAACTACAACTACTACTACTACTACTACTACTACTACTACTACTACTACTACTACTACTGCTACTGCTACTGCTACTCCTACTACTACTACTACTACTACTACTACTACTACTACTACTACTACTACTACTACTACTACAGTATTACTACTACGACTATTTTTTCAATTGAACGCTGCGCGAGCGTGCTCTGCGCATGGCGGGCGGCGGAAGCTGGAGATTCCCTGCTCTCGTGAAACATAAGCATAGCATCTTGGTCTCGGTATGCAACCGCAAAGAACAAGCATTAAAACTCTGCAGCGGCTCCTGGAAGACTCACTCTACTAGAGACAGCCTCACTTCTTCCTCCGTCACCCTCAGTGTGAATCACCCGTCACCCTCAATGTGAATCACTGCGTCCAGTACTCACGCACCTCAGCCAGTTGGGTCGTACTCCGCAGAGCCGTCTCCCTGAGTTCCCGTCTAGTGGTGTCCGACAATAGATAACTCCTGACCCAAGTGGTGGGCCGTAAGGGAATGTTCTGACAGAATTCGCAGCATGTACCTGGACTGGACAGGCGACACATTGGACAGGTCAAACGCTGCAGTGTAGATGCACGCTAGTGGCCGACTTTTCTGCAACGTTTTTCTTCATTAGTTGTCCAGCCAGCAAAGGCGAGCGAGGCAGACTTGCCTAAGCTAGCTTCATGACTCTGTGGGCTGTGCCCCTGTTGAGTAACAACGGGGATGCGCCCACATCGCCCACGTGGTAATGTCGAGGTGGTGTGGTCTGTATCCAACTTGGAACGCACCCTGCCATGGAGGATCAGATGGCGGCCTGGGCATCGGAGGCGGGGTGACGTCACGGTCCATCTGATGGTGACGTGGACTTGGCACCAGCCTTAGGAGGCCGGGAAAAATCTGGTGGCGGTACTGGAGCTGCTTTAACAGGCAGGCGCCTCGGCTCCAGCCTTTGTGGTTGCGAAGACTTGCCTCCCGAATGCGTGCTGGATCGCCCGTCTCAACAACGGGTGGTTACCTTTGCCGTAGATGATGCCCTGGAAGATGCGGTCGGCCTTGTGACTCCGATGGCCATCACCATAAATTCTGCCGGCAGCAGGCCCTCAGAAATAGGATTGTAAGCTGCCCTTTGGGCCGCAGACACTTGGGCTGTGCCCCAGTCCGCAGCCAGCAGTTGCAAAATTTCTCGCCATGGAACTACAAAGCCGAACTTGATGTGTCCACGTACAAGCCGCCATTGTGAAAGTGATGGGTGTAGCGGAAAATGTCCGCTCTGTGAGCCGGGTGTTTCAGCCTATCAAGTACGGCTGTGCCAAACTTGCCTGCCAAGTCCCGGAGAGTTTGCCGCAGAAAGAGAACATCGCACAAGATGCGAGTGAACTCCGGAATCATGAGGGCAGCAAGCTTTGCCTGTTCTGGCTTGTTGTCGTGGACGTAAGTCTGGAACAAGATCTTCGGCACAGGTGCTTGTAGCAGAAGAGGCAGGCGGGAACAGCGAAGGTTCCATGGGCCTTGTCCAAGCTGAGTGGCAACCTCTGGCATTTCACGGACTGAACGACACCGGGCCAGTGCTTGAGCTGCCAGCATCTCTATCTGCATGTCTTGCACATGGGCGTTCCAGCCCGCCACCACAAAAACTGGGAAGCCCTGTGACTTGCGCATTTCCTCTATCGCTCTCGCAACCAAAATGGAGATGGCGCAATCTGCAATAGCCGGCTTGAAATGGCAGCCCCTGGTGGAGTACAGTTGGTCAATGCCTGGTGCCGACTCCAACGTCAGGATCTCTTGGCCCTCCAATTTCACGTGAAAAAGACGTATACTGCTCCCTGCCCTCAATCAAAAAGTTGTAATGATGATGATGATGATGGCGTTGTTCAGCTGGTGCCCTTGTCAGTCCACCCGACCACCCGGATCGCCATTGGGTTAGGCTCGGCCTCCCGAAGGACCTGGGAACGCCCATGCAGTGTAGAGGGTTCGAGCCCAAGGGACTTCGCATGCTAAGCCCATACTAAGCCCTACACCATACCGGCGCTCAAGTTGCAATGGGCCTGTCGCTGCCGCAAAAGGCTGTGTTAGCCAGAGGGATAAACCTGAGATTCAGCGTTTCATCCATGTGTCGACGCAGCATCTGTGCCACAGCCGGCCATTGGCAGGCCGCCGAAAAGCTTCGATCCCCCGTGTTGCCAGTGCAGCAACTCCAGAATCGATGGCACCGATTTGGTGCTGTTGAGGGCTGCTCCCGGACAGCTCAAGATCGACAAAGCCAGAAAAGATTGGATAGATCCCGCACGTGCTACCTCGCAGCATGTACTGCAGCGTACTGTCGCTCAGCACGAGGATCCCGAAGGGGCCAGGATTTGGCCCGTTATCTGCTGTAGCAATGCTCGCAAGGTAGGCTGTGCCACACAAGAACGTGAGGAGCTGCGCCAAACACGTGTTACAATTGCGGCACCGGAGGGACTACCCTGACTCCGTGACCAGAATGAAGGCCTGTGAAGGAGAGCAAGGGATGTTATTCTGGCAGAAAATCGGAGCTTCAGAACTCACCGTGCTACCAACTGTCGCTGATGGGGCTTGATGGCAGACAGCAGTCAAGCGTGAGTCTACACTTGCAACTCCAACTTATTTCGAGAGAGCAAGGATGGGCACGGCGCACCTGTCCACTGCCCTCGTCGATGCGTTGTCGTAATTTGCCGAACTGCCTGACCTGCCAGGATGCTTTTGGTAAACTCTATGGAGCAACGCAAGATGTAAAGAAACAGCCGCGCACAGCTTCATCACTCCGGCACACTTTTCTGAAAAGGCAAAAGTGAAAGACCAGCAATGTGATCTAGCGGCTAAGAAGTCAAAAAATCAGCGACTGATCATGTTCACATGAAGGGAGGCTGTGCCATCCCCTGTAGCTGGCTGTGCCACCTTTGCATTTGCAGCTAGAAGGGACCCCTGCTGCACGAAGGCGGGGCAGACCGCCAACTAAGGTGAAAAAGCATCTACAAAAAAGGATTAAGACACGAGGGCCGTGCCGTGGTCGAAGGATGGTCGAAGGAGGTTGTGCCGCTGAAAAAACCGCTTGCCCAAAGAGGCCTAGCGGCGCTCTGCAGTGCTGAACAGGGATGTCATGTGCCAGGTTCATGTTGAGGCTGATCTCCTCGCGAGCTTTCCCCGTCCTTGTGCTGGCGAGACAAGCGCGTACCGTCCTCCAGGAGCAAACCCACGGTTTGGCGTCCACGATAGGGAGAGCCGCTGCGTACCATCCTCGGCTCACTGTACTGTACCAGCACCATGGTGGTGAGGAGGTCGGGCTGTAGGATGCCAACCTTGATGTTAGGATGCCAACCTTGATGTGAAGACCATGGTGATCAACGAGGACTTCGGCTTCCTCCGCTAGTATTGTGTATTTGATGAACTGGTGTTGCCTCAACCATTGGAGTGCGCGTGTCCGCATGGCGTCATGTTCGTAGACCTCGTCCACGGCTTCCTCGCCGTAGAAAGCTTCCAGAACGTCGATCGGGATGGTGTCCTGATCTGGTAGAAGTCGATGACGACGGCAGCAGGTATGAGGTACGTCGGCACTTTCCGGAGAATGCCCATGTCGTGCGGACAAGCCATCCCAGTTACCTATCTAAAGACTCCCCTAGCCCTCGCAGCTGCAGACGCTCAAGCTGCTGGCAAGGAGTTGAAGGTGGTACAGGTGCAGTGAGGTGCAAGGCTCTTTCTTTTTGGTTTCGGAATGTGCTTCTAGGCAGCCAAAAAGGCGGATATAGCTGAGACGCACTAGACTTGGACTGGCTGTGCCACTGCTACAGCATAGGCTGTGCCGTCCCTATCGGAGCTTTTATCATCCGTACCGGGAGAAGAGGAAGGGTGCGGATGTGGGCACAGATTGCCTCCCTTGCCAGTGGGTCCGGGGAGGTAGACATGACCTCGACCATGACTCCCTGCCCTTGATCATGAACGTTTTCAAGATCTGCCATGGGCTAACCCATGGTTTGTTGGCCACGAACGGCAGGGCCACTGTGTGCCAGTTCCGACTGACAGCCGCTAGACGCTAGACTAAGAGGCTCGATCATATCCGGCTGCAGGATGCCAGCCTGAACATGAAGGCCCTGGTGATCGATTGTCATGTCGTGCAACAGAACGGCGTATCGGTCGAACCGGAACTGGTTCGCCCATCGGAGCAGTTCATCTCGCATGAGATCCCTTTTTTGATAGAGGTCCGCTTCCATTTCCTCACCGGACAGTTCTCGCAATACTTCGATTGGGGGCTTGGCCCACTCAGCCAACTTTGCGCTTTGCCCCTGCAGATCCCTATCTCCCGCCCTACTTGACGAGTGGGGCTCAGGAAGATGTCCAACCCCCCAATGCCCATGCGGTTGATTGATAGGCTGGTGATACTCATCCCAATCGCTCCTATAAGGCTGAGTCCAAGCAGACCCTTCAGGAGTCTGCGTAAACCACCCACGCTTCCAAACCGACTTGTGGAAGGCTTTCTGGTGATTCTGATACGGTGCTCCGTACGCGCCTCTCTCCACCCCTTTAGGTGGACAATGGTGGACATGAAGGCATGACCACGCTCGTCTCGTAAACAGGATGCAGATGCAACCTACGAGTATCAGCGAAAAGCCACTTCCCAGGGCAGACCATATATGCACGTCTAGACATGGCACGTGGCCATAGCTCACCTGCAACGGCAATTGAGTCGTCACTACTTGAGCCAAAATGCTTGAGCCAGAATGGCTACGGTCGTCGCAGACGTTGAAGAAATCCGCTACCGTGCAAAACCTTGAAAGGCTTCAAGCATCGAAGATGTTATAACCGCTTCACCGATTATGAACCCATCTGATACGAAATCCTCTTGTCGGCGGGAAAACATTTGATATTTGGGGTTTTGGCTTTCAGTTGCATATTTACTGTAAGAATGAACCATCATCTTCGGCTTCAGGGTTCAAGGTCCGGTTTGCGCCTCTGAGGAGATGAGGACCACGTCGCCTGGCGCTTGTGCGACAACGGTGGAGAGACCTCGGCAAGCGAACCGGACCCATGGACTCAACAGCAGGCGACCCACAGCAAGTTTGTAGACCGTCCCGTGCTTAGAGCACAAAGTCTAGAGGCCATGCGCTACAGGGCTCAGAGCGTCGTGAGCCCAAGACGGCGGACCTGAAGAGTGTGAGCCGAACTCCGGCAATCGTGCAAAACGGGCAGCCCAGACAGCTCTTGAAATGTGCTTCCCTCGTGTTTCTTGACGTTAACCAGCTAATCCGAGACCCTAGCCGTCGCAACAGTGAGTAGGTCTCGGTGTGTTTGGGGTTTGAAACGCCCAGGGGCCCGGCGTGGTGGCGTCAGGTCAGTGACGGACTCCGGCTCGGGCTGGACGCTTGCACCACCTGTAATGACGCCTGCGACAGGCCAGACGGGCTCGGCAGCGGTGCTGGCAAACCGCTGGACACTTGTTGGAGTCTTGAGATTGGGAACCTGAGCACGATTTGCGGCTTCCGGATTTCAAGAGGGTCTTCGATGGGTATGCGACTCATGTCTTGCACGACACTGGGAATGTTTTCCCACCCTGCTGACATTGGCCTTGCAGCGGGGAGCACTTGTCGCCTATGGTCCTTGCAGAGCAAAATCGGAACACTGATCGCGCAGAAGCCACAGTGTGGAGGCAAATTTCAATACCGTCCCCTTAGGTCCCGACACAGTGCCCCCTGCAGCGCACACCGACTCGCACGAGGCCTCGAAATCGTCCTCGTCAGAGCAGTTGCACAGACTTGATCGCAAAGCTTGTTGCTCTTTGAAACGTTATGCTGCTTTCTTTAAAGCCTGATGGCTTCATCTGAAACAGCAGTATGACCCACAGCTTTGCCTTCCCATGACAGCAAGGCTGATGCTGACGGCTGCAGCGGTGCTCTCAGGCTGGCACCACCAAGGGAATACTCATTGCAGGGCTGCGCTGCTGAACCAGAGATGACCTTGATCGATGCTGTAAGACCAAATAGGGTCGAATCAGACATGCTAGCTGCGAGCCTGAAAGGACCAGTACCGGTACTGACAAACAATAACCACAGCTTGAACACAAGTGAAACTTGTTTCTGAGATCAGAGCTCAATGTAGATGACGACATCTGTAAAGTTTTGCTGCAGTAGAGTGGCCTGTGAGGTGGAAGTGCAAGCTGAGGCTTCAGGGCTTGTAAGGACGCAACAGCTCACCGTTTCTCGTCCAGCAGTTAGGGTTCGCGCCAGCTGGCATGGAGGTCACTTTGGACTGTGGCCGCGTGGCGGTCTATGGTCGGCGGAACAAGATAACAAGGGGGAATTCATTCTAGTGCAAAGCAGCTTGTTGCACGATCCAGTGTTAAAAGCTGAGCGTCGTGGCCGCATCAAAACAAGCATAATAGAATCAGCCGGACTGATGCGTCTACTTCCCCCTGCCGGACTCTGAAGCAACGGAGGCATCCAGCATTGAGCAGCCGGGTGCAAGCTTGCCTGAGGAATGATCAGGCTCGTAGTGCCAATCAACCCCTGGCCCAGAAGAGACCGGCCGATTCCACTGGGAGCCAGAGCAAAGTAGACCTTGCATCTGGTTTTCGGTTGTGCGTTCAACTGCCAAATTTCTAATCATCGCGGCTTTGGGACTCGGGGCAAAGACGAACCAGACTTTCGCCAAGGAGCCGAGTAGGAGGACACACGAGGAAGGTATCCCTCGCCAGTCCAGCGAACCTCTCCACCCATCTGATCTGGGCACAAGTCCTGAAACAGAGGGATCACTTTGTCGCTGAAATGTGGCTTTGCGTACAGTCTGACTTTGGCGACTGTATACGGTTTCATGTTGACGACGGTGTTGTTGATTAAGACTCTGCGTTGCTACCTCGTACCTTCGCATAGCGTCGCCATGCCCCCTGCCCTACTTCTGCAATTTGCAGTCCACGAATCGTGGCCATCCAGAATGTCCTGTCCATCTGATTCAAGAAGCAGATTCCACTTCAAGAATATAGAGTCGCACGTTTCGCGCAACGGTGTACGGCCCGGGCACCGCAAGGAATGTCTATACGACTGTGCACAGGGAAACTCTGTCTCGACTTGTCCTTAGTATCCAACGTCTCGTTTGTCTATTCATGTCCGTTCTAACCTGCCGGTTGCGCAGGATGTAAACACGCAACGCTGAAGACCATGATGCGCTGTAGAAAAGAAACCAAGGATTCGTAGTGAAACTGCGTGTACATACAGATACCAGAAAACTGCACACAAGAGAACACACGGGTATTCCCAGCATCGACGTGTGTCGGAAAGTAGACTACGCAGTGTGTCATCCTTGCATCTGCTTCATGCAGCGATTAACCTTCATCCTTGCCTGCATGCTATACTATGATTGGTCCTACTACACGGCACAAGCCCCACTTCTAGACTTCCAGTTCAAGATCTGGAATCTAGCGATGGCATTCTTTTGATTTCGACTGAAGTACAACCATCTCAGACTATGAACATGAACAACTGTGTATCGTGCCTCGTCGACGAATCTGAGGGCTGTCACGCTGGACACGCCTCCGGGAGTCTTGACACTGTCTTGACTAAGCTCAAGGAAACAGGGCTAGAGCTCCGAACGCGCGGCTTCTAACTTCGAAAGGTCTGGGGCCACCTTCTAAAGACTCCATGCTTGGACATTGGAGACCCTCAACATGTAAAGCTGTCGACAGAGAGCCAGGCCGTCATCAATGGCAAGAACCGCCGGAGTCGTCTGCCTGTCAGATGGATGGCTCTTCATCTTGATGATGTGTTGCCGCTGTTGCCACCGTCGCTATTGCAACGCTAATATTGCTGTTGCCAGGGTTAATCCTATTGTTTAACTATAGACAGTGACTACTATTTCACTTTCCATTGCTGCTGCAGTGACTGTTGCTAAGCTGGTGGTTAGGGTGGGGATTGGGGTTGGGGTTGTGGTGGTGGAGGTGGCGGTGGTGGCCTTGATTGTGTAATTGCTTTGTCCTGGTTCGAGAAAGCCCATAAGCTCCTCACAGTGTTCAACAGAATCTGTTATGATTGCTCTGATGGCTATGTTGCTGATGTTGCTGCTGAGGCTTTTGCTGCTGCTGTTGTTAATGCTTTTGCTGCTGTTGCTGTTGTCGTCGTGTGGCCGAGGTCGCGGTCGCAGTCGTTGCTATTGTTGGTGTTGAACTTGGTGGTTTGCTGGCGTTGCCGGAGTTGCTGCTGCTGGTGTTGATGTTGGTATGTGTTGGTGTTGTTGCCGTTGCCGTTGCCGGTGCCGCTGCCGCTGCCGCTGCGGCTGCTGCTGCTGCTGCTGCTGCTTGTGCTGTTGCTGGTGCTGCTGTTGCTGTTGCTGCTATTGTTGCTGTTGTTGTTGTTGGTGGTGGTGTTGCGGTTGCCACTGTTGCTGCTGTGCTGCTGGTGTCCTTGTCGTTGTCGTTGTCGTTGTGGTGGTGGTGGTGGTGGTGGTGGTGGTGGTGGTGGTGGTGGTGGTGGTGGTGGTGGCGGTGGCGGTGGTGGTTGTTCTTGTTGATTTTGCGGTTCTTGTATTGCTTTCGTTGTCCTTGTCCTTGTCCTTGTGGTGGTTTTTGTTGTTGCTGCTGCCGCTGGTGTTGTTGTTGCTGCTGCTGGTGTTGTTGTTGTTGCTGCTGTTGTTCTTGCTGTGGTTGCTTATTGTATCAGTGTTGTGCGTTGATTGTTGCTTGTTGTGGGCTTGTGCCGTAGTCGTCGTCGTCGTCATCGTCGTAGTAATAGTAGTAGTAGTAGTAGTAGTAGTAGTAGTAGTAGTAGTAGTAGTAGTAGTAGTAGTAGTAGTAGTAGTAGTAGTAGTAGCACTAGCAGTAGCAGTAGCTGCAGCAGGAGTAGTAGCAGCAGCAGCAACAGCAGCAGCAGCATGAGGAGGAGTAGTAGTAGTAGTAGTAGCAGTAGTAGTAGTAGTAGTAGCAGTAGGAGTAGTAGTAGTAGTAGTAGTAGTAGTAGTAGTAGTAATAGTAGTAGTAGTAGTAGTAGTAGTAGTAGTAGTAGTAGTAGAAGTAGCAGTAGCAGTAGTAGTAGGAGGAGGAGGAGTAGTAGTAGTTCTTGTTGTTGCTGCTTGTCGTTTTGTACCCGTTTGTTCGTCTTAGTCTTCTAGTCCAGTCCAGTTGTTGACATATGGAAAGTGTCTGCTGCTGCTGCTGCTGCTGCTGCGGCACCTTCATCATCAGTGGCATCCCTCGTCGTTACACTACAGCTCTGCAGTGTCGTTTGCATCATTGCCTTTGTCCTCTTTACCATGACGGTGATAATGGTGATGATGGTTTTGCCGGTAAATGAACTTTATTCATCCTGTTCTCATCATTCCCGTCGCGGCGGTCTGCAGCATGCCAACACATGCCTTTTGTTTGAGGTTGGAGGTGTCCCGGCCTGTTCAACATTCCCATACAAGACGAACCCTCTCACCCCCGAATCACTACCGAAATCAATCACGTCTGAATGATTCTCGTCCAGCACTCAACGCTTCGAACAGAAGGACACAGGATTATTTAACTAACAATTACCAAGCATCCCGGCTCGGCCAAGGTAGACTCCGCAAAGAGCATGATGTAGTTGTACGTCTCGTTGCCTCGGAAATGGTCATGGTTGGGAGGTTGGGAAGCCACTTGGAAAAAGCACCGAGATCAATCCGGACGACAATTTTCATCTTCGAATTCTGAAGCAGGGGAGCGGATACACCCTCTATGCACTCTGACCAGAACTGGACAACATGAATCAAAACAGACCCTGCAGTTGTTCCCGCGCATGCTCAACCCAGCTAAAGGGAAGCGAACACAGAAAGACCGAGACCGCCGCTTGTGGGTGCAACGGGCATGCTTTGCCATCCTCAAGTCGTTGCCACGTCAATAAACCAAAGCTGCGCATGAACAATGGTACAGAATTACTCGTCGTACGCAGAACAACCACAATGACCACGTAACGCGCTACTGCTACTGATGACTAGCTACAGCGATTGCTCCGGCAACGAAGTCGCAAACCAGAGCAACGGAGCTGCTTGTGGCAATGTCCACGCAATAATGGCAACAGCAAATGTAATTATCGACAAGTCAATGACTTGCTGCAATAAGTAAGACGAACAACGAGCTGCATTCGCAAGAACAACATCACCGCCACAGTCAAGCACAATCATGTCTATAGCCTAGGCGCGTAGGACATATTACTGGTTAAGCACGAAACAAAGGTCTAGCCGTCAAACCCGTGCGCCTGCCCTGGCAAACAAAATGTGATAATGGAGCCTGTGGAAAGATCTTACCGACAACCCGAATTCTAGGAACACTAGACATAGAAGCAACAGGCCCAATATGTGCATAGCCGCCATATCCAAAATGACCTACTTCCACCGCTACCCCAGGCGGCAACAGTAGCAAGCCCAGCCACAGCTGAAACACCCGTAGCAATCATTTCAAAATTTCCTGCTAATAGAAACAATGTGCTGCCAAGAACAGTACAGACGATAGCCACGCTATTCAGTAGCGTTTCTGACCATTGCCATGGTGGCAACAATCGTAGCTCTTGTAATGGCAGAGAAGAACAAGAACCACAGCTACAAGAAACAAAGATACAGAGTTCAAAGCAATCGGGCCTGGCCACACAACGTGTGTCAATGAATGCAGGCCCGAGAGGGCGCTGCTGTTTTGTTGATTGCTGCCTGGTGATTGTCTCGTTCTTGTAAATATCAACTTACTAGATGCAACTTAGTCGCCGGTTTACGATCTTCCTATCTCTCCTTTTTACTCGCCCTGTGCCCTTCGAACTTCATTTCCTCTTTTGTCATTATTCAGTAAACGTAACATCTTTTGCCTTCTCCGTGCTTTGGGAAAGTGTTCGGGTCTTCTGTCGTCGACTCGTTTCCGTCTGAAGCAGCTTCCAGATCACCCGCAGGGCGTACAGCTTCGGTTTCCGGTGTCCAAGGCTTAGTAGGCACACGATTCTGGGTTCTCAGCGATGCAAAGCAGGCATACTCTTCGACGAAATGTCAAGGTATTGGCCCAGAAACTCAACCCCGGCTTGGAAAATCAAAATACCCTGCAACTTAGGAGACTTTGGAAGTTTCATACAAGGCGTCTGAAGGCGGCGTGCCGCTCCCCACCACCGGCCCAGATCTTGGCACCTTCGTCGTCGTCCACCCTGGAATCAGCCCGCACTTTGCGACATTAGCATCCAGCATCCACTCTGCAACCCTCAGATCCAGTGGAACCAAAGAACGCCCAAAAGATCACGAGTGTTGAAAAGCAGAACCCTTTAGACAACATCTTCCTCAGCTTAGTCTCAATTGCCCAGCTGCTCTTACTTGGACAGGGGCCGATCAACACGCAAACAGGTCCTTCTAGGGGGCTACACAAGACTGCAGTGTAAGTTGCGATACCAGAGATCTCGGCAAATCCGGCAGCAATACTGCTGCTGAAAAACAACCCTTGCAAGCCAATCCCTAAAGCGTTAACAAAAACAGCTGCGCCCAGGAGCCCCTAGTGCCTATGTCGAACCAAGTGGCAGGTAGAATCCGGATTCGGAGATGCACGGGCTTTGCACCCATCCCGAGCCGAGGCCAGCCTGCTATGGCAGGCGCTCTTCTCACCAGGTCTCTGGCCAGCGAGGGTGGTAGATAGCACAAAGAGACAGGCTCGAAAAAGATAGAAAGAGCGAGAGGCGCCAAGAAGCGCAGCAAGACAGCAACAACGAAAGAACGACATAGAGCAGTTTGAGCATGCCGGAGCTGTCAGCGATGTCAATGCATCGGAACAGTGGGGCTAAGCAAAGTTTGCACGACTCCACTGGCTCGCTGTTAGAATGCGCAAAGAACCGTCTCCTCTGCGGTCGTTTCACTGCTCTCTTTGCCTGGTGTATGGCGTCAACACCAGTGTTGGAGCCATATGCCTGCCAATGCCGGAGCAAGACTGCAAGCTGGTCGCGAAGTGCTTGATATTTTTGCGGCATGTAGATTCGTGATTAAAGTCTCGAGACTTCTGATGCCCGAAGCACCACGCCCTCTCAGTACCATCCATCTATGCTCCAGACTCCAGCAGATAGGCGCTGTCTCCGCAACATCTGCATGGACCGGCCGAGCTCTGGGGGGAATGACGGTGCCTCGCAACGACGCCTCTCAGTCTCATGGCGGACTCATCAAGTTGCTGCTGGCTTTCCTAATCTCGCGATATTCTACGAAGTTGGTCCCTAAGGTGAAGACCCTGGAGCGTGTCAAAGCCAAAATCGTCCACATCCGGATCCTTGAAACCACATTCTCAACTCGAATCCACCTGTGCGTGACTCACTGTCACAATGCTTCCCTGATGGAACTGTGAAACCGTTTGCATTGCCTCCCAACCGCTTGCGCCAGTCAGCCCATCGGAACAGCGAATGCTGAAGCCAGCGTAGAGGCAGAAGTTAAAATCTGGCACGATTCCGGCGCAGCGCTTCGGCTCGGGCTGACGGTCCACATTCGCTGTACGTTAGAATAATAATATACTAATATGATTATTATATATGCTTTCGATCTAGCTATAAAGATTCTATACCATTGCAAGTCCCGCGCTGCAGCATGCCCGTGAAGCTGGAGACTGGTGGTGGACAGAAAGTCACATGCAAAACCTGGCCTCCCACCGAGTGCTTTCCGGCGATGCAGACATCTTCAGTAGGGGAACACCAACCTCACAAACGTTTGACACTGCATGTGAGCTTCAGGAGCTTTGTCAGAGCTGTAGGTTTTGGGTTTGCGTCACGTACTGCTTTCCTTTTGCGGTTCGACAAGGAAACTGGGACAAGGGTCGTCCAAGAATGTCGGCATCCGATGCATGTAGACTGTAGACGTTGCAGGAACCTCTGAATGTGTCAGCCAGCGAGAAAGCCGAACCTACAAGCCCGAAGACTTCGCAACTCGCAATGCCAATGCCACCAAGGAGTCGAAGACTCAAAGCCCTGACTGCCCTAGCAGAGAAGCAGAAGCTGAGTGTCAGACTCGAATCGATCACACTGCTCCCCGAGATCACCAGGTAGGCCCCAGGCACCTCCAGGGAGCGATGAGCGAAGCGAAGCATGCACCACTTTCTCTCACAAAGCGGCTCACAGCTCAGACTCTCTCAGAGAGGTGAGCGGAGGCTTCCCGGTTGAGATTCCGCTTCCGCTGGCGGCCGCCTTTCGGAAAGAGAGGCGCTTTGTGCTCGTCCAGTCCGTCAGGGTGCCGTTCCCGGCGTGCGTGATGTCAACTCCGTTGTAGACGATGCTTAACACCTGGCGCTATGGAGCTAGGATTCTGCGCTTCGGCACCGACCACCTGGGACCCCGGACAGTGTCTGCAATGGTGAAGTTGCAGGTCACTTCCTCGATGAACTCCTGGCTGAACTTGGACCTGAGGGCAGAAGCTTCAGGACTTCGAGAAGGTGCCTTTGACAGAGACGCAACCGCGGCTTCTGACAGCACAAGAGCACTCTGGGCGTCTGAGGTCCCGGCGTTCCAGCTGGGACTGTTTGCCGAGTCGCTGTGGTGGCTAGGCCGGATACGAACACATCTCGGATGCTGGAGTCATTGTAATCAGCTCCATACCTGAAACGAGGGCTTCGCATTTGCGCAGACGAGGCTCTATCTTTGAAAGCTTTGGACCGTCTGCATAAGCCCGCTGCGAGAAGTAGATGTTGTACTGCGTGGCAGCAGAAGTGTCTGCCGGAATCGACCACTCAATGCTTCCTGCGGCTTCAGGATTCACATCGAAAACGATTCTTCTTCTTGACGAGAAGACACTGCAGCCAATACACGATCGTAAGGTCGTTAAACTGAGGACCTTGTACCGGATGGAATGGCAACTACACCAAGCTTTTCGAGGGGAGCCAACGCATGAGATGCGACGTGTGCGGGACCTTGGCGTGGGCTCCCTCTCTGGGGGAAGCACCCCTTGCATCTCCCGAACTCGTGAAAGTCCCAAGCATCTAACGCTGGTAATTCGGCAGAAGTCCTCCAATCATGTTTGGATCCAGGTCGAAGTCAACTGCGGTTCGAAAGTCCGAGCGGCGGAGGGAAGAGAGGGACTTGACGGTTTCGCTTGGAGCTTCTACAAATCTCAAGCCCACGCCTTTGAAGCAGCCCATGCAACCAAGTGGCCGAAGCTCAAATCTGAGACGAGAACATCTTGGTCCAAAATCTGTATGCCTGAGCTGCACGACAAAGTACATGCTGCCGTGCGTCTTCACGAAGAGCAGTTCCCAAAAAGCAGCGGGCCTACGGGGGTGGTCTGCTCGTACGCGACGGACCGAGTGTAGACAACCCAATGCCTCGGCAGTGGAGCCGGCTGCCGGCTGCTGGCATCTTAGGTGATGGAGTTCGATTTCCTCACATCTAGGCCACATAGGCATTCCGATGCATGGTTGTTGCTCCCTGGAAGTTCGCCTGATTGGGCACGACTTCTTGTTCCATCATGTTCCATCACTATTGCTTCCAAGCAATATTGCACTCCACTATCTGGCTTACCGTAAAGCAGTGCCACTTCCTTGCCACCTCTTGCGGCCACAGAGAAAAACAAGGAGCCTGGGACAGATCGAGGTCAGGAGAGGGACATGAGACAGTGGTGGCCCTTTCCCCTCCGCAAACAGCTGCCAAGCCACGTGTAGTCGTTGAACATGGTGTCCACTGGCACAGAGAAAGAGTTGGTCCCAACTGGCACCACGCCTCATAGACGGAACTAGGGTGGAATCGCAGTCTGCGAGCCCCCGGGGCAAGTTAGCTTCGGGGTCAGAAAGTTTCGCGCCCTGTTGAAAGGACCACCTTCTGCTTGCATGGCGCCGAAAGGGGTTGCAGATCTTCCGCCACCAGCTGCGGTGGTTGCCATGTACACCACGTAGTCCTGTCGGTGCTGTGCTTTGACAGCCGAGTGGTGGACCTCTAACCACACCGAGGGAAGGGAAAGTGACCCCACCCCAATCTGCATTGCAGAACCCCCTGCCTCAAAGAATTCCTGCTGCATGTCTCGCAGCAAAAGCCAAAACGCCCAGAAATCCAAGAGCTGTCCCGACACATCCTGACCCACTCCAAATGGCAAGCAGCCCGTGCAGCTCCTGCCTGGTTGAAATTCACGTCAAAGGGAGGGCCCCAGGACAGGGTGCCTCCAATCTCCAACCGGTCCAGGTCTCTGTCGGGAAAGGAGACGAAGCCCACAGACGAAATCCTTGACTGCAAGTGCTTGATTGGAAACTTCTTGCCACAGGTGGCTCAACAGCTGAATCTCACGCCGTCATGAGCGATTGATAGGTACAGAGTAGATATAGAGGGAAACTTAAAATTCGTGTGCGTGCAAGAATCGTCTCAGCGATGGCCACGCTGCTCGGTGTCTGTTGTTCGTTGCCGAAAGCAGTGATGAAGATACCAATGTACGCCATGCCGCTGATCTCAGCCAAGGAAAGCTTGGAACCGCACGGCACGGACATGCAACTGTGACTGCACGACTAGACTGACAACTCCGGCTCGAGGAGATTGCCAGAACGATTCTCAATACGTCTTGCGGAATAAGGAGGGCCTGGCAAAAGCCACGACAATGAACAATTGAACAGGTCGCTGGTCAACCTGAACGAACAAAGCATAATACCGTAGCTCAACCACATCCTCCTTGTGAGTTAAGAAACTGCTAGACTAAATCGAACGAAGACTAGCCGCAGCTCATCATTTCCCTGGTGCTGTATATCATCATGCTGTCACTGTCATAATGCAGTCGATGCTAAGTCTGCGGCGTTCGTGTTTTCTGCAAAACTCACTTGCAGGTCTCCTGGCGTGAATATCCACGGGCAGGAGAAGTAGTAGTGGTAGAAACAGACATGAAGTAAAAAAAAAAAAGAACGTGGAAGTAGAAGTAGAAAAAGTAGCAGCAGAAGCACCAACGAAAATTGAAGAAGGAGTAGTATCAGTTGTAGTAGTTGTCGTCGTAGTAGTAGTAGTAGTAGTGGTAGTGGTAGTGGTAGCAGTAGTAGGAGGTGGTGGTGGTAGTAGTAGTAGCAGTAGTAGTAGTAGTAGTAGCAGAAGAAGCAGTAGTAGTAGTAGTAGTAGTAGTAGTAGTAGTAGTAGTAGTAGTAGTAGCGTAGTAGTAGCGCAGTAGTAGGTGGTAGTAGGTGGCAGTAGGAGTAGTAATAGTGGTTGTAGTAGTAGGTGGTAGTAGGAGTAGTAGGTGGCAGTAGTAGTAGTAATAGTAGTGGTAGTAGTAGTAGTAGTAGTAGCAGGAGTAGTAGTAGTAGTAGTAGTAGTAGTAGTAGTAGTAGTAGTAGTACTCGTACAAGGTGGTAGTAGGTGGTTGTAGGTGGTAGTAGGTGGTAGTAGGTGGCAGTAGTAGTAGTAGTAGTAGTAGTCGTGGTGGTGGTGGTGGTAGTAGTAGTAGTAGTAGTAACAGAGGTAGTAGTAGTAGTAGTAGTAGTAGTAGTAGTCGTAGTAGTCGTAGTAGTCGTAGTAGTCGTAGTAGTCGTAATAATCGTAGTCGTAGTAGTAGTAGTAGTAGTAGTAGTAGTAGTAGTAGTAGTAGTAGGTGGTAGTAGGTGGTTTCAGGTGGTAGAAGGTGGCAGTAGTAGCAGTAGTAGTAGTAGTAGTAGTAGTAGCAGTAGCAGTAGCAGTAGTAGTAGTAGTAGTAGTAGTAGTAGTAGTAGTAGTAGTAGTAGTAGTAGTAGTAGTAGTAGTAGTAGTATTCGTAGTAGGTGGTAGTAGGTGGTTTCAGGTGGTCGTAGGTGGCAGTAGTAGCAGTAGTAGTAGTAGTAGTAGTAGTAGTAGCAGTAGTAGTAGTAGTAGTGGTTCTTGTTGTTGTTGCACGGCAGAGGCCAGGGTGCCAGTGGATGGAGCGCCAGATTCGGGAGGCACGGAGCTGTCACCTAATCGTGTCTCTTCCTTCTCATTCGCCGGGGCAGACGGGTCACGACAAACCGGCTTAGCCTTTCCAAGGGCTCTAGAAGGAAATGCTCATTGTCTGTTCTGGCAGACTTTCAGAGAGCATGTGTTTTGAAGCCCTTCAGGTCTGCCAGCCCGCCTGAAACGCTGGGATTCCGCGTTTCAACTCCGAAGACGACCCACATTCAAATCAAAGTCTTCTGCAAAGGCCAACACCAGGGTATGCTGAGAGTCCGACAGGCTTGGGTGCAAACAAGTATCCACAGTGCAATGCCCAAACCTGCTATACGTGACTGATCCCAACTTGCTCCTCTAGTCAGTATGCTCTCCTAATGCAGCGACATATCCCGAAGCCGCTACACCCACGTCCTCGAGGCTTGTCGCTGTCTAGCTGGAATTTGACTGTTCCAGCTCGGTCGCTTTGGAAGAAAACACGATACCTCGGTGTGCTTTCAATTTCGGGACTGCAGGCTGGCTCCTGTCTTGACCAGAAGCTGCCCTCGAGCCTTGTATGAAGCAAAACAGGATTTCAGGCAAGTGCAGCAAGCTCTGAAGCTGAACCTTCAAGGCACTGCGGCCCTGCACCTCGCCCAAACCCCTCACTTGCGAAGATCTCTTTCGTGGCAAAGCAACACATCCACGATCCGCTCGTCCGGAGGAGGATCCCAGGTGATCTCCCCGCCAACTTCGAATTCGTCAAGATCCTGTGACGAAGGCCATACCATCAAACCACCACAGAGGAGGGACGAGATTTAAGTTTATTGAACAGTTCTTTTGCGACTGCTGCTGCTGAAGCAACCCCGGGTCAGGGGAAGCAAGGGCAGCCGATGGCATGCTGGCAGAGTGATGGACGGCATAATTATCGAGCTCCCCTCCCTCATGGCTTCATAAATCCGCCATACTTGCATTGTAGATGTCTAGGGTCTGGGCTAGCCCGCGATCGGACTACGACGCGTGGAGGTCTCGACGTGCAGCATCAGCATGTGAAAGGCTAGCACGACTAAGGGCATTGGGCTCTGTGGACCGTGCCGACACAATGCAGGTCCCGATCGAAGAGCGTGATGTTCTCCACAATTGCAATTGAGTCTATAAGTTCGAGGGCAGCTGGAGTCGTCATCTCGGCGAGTGTTGACTCCGAATACCTGGGAAGCCAGGACGTGCGAGAACGTTCCGCCAAAGTTATGTAGACTCCTGCGACATGATTGCCTGTTCATGTCTGTTGGGTAACATGGTGACCGCTGAGCAGACACAATCACACAATCTCTTGCCAATGTCTTGTCGACTCCAGAATCTCCATGTTCGTCCAGAGATAGCAGGGAAGTGATGTCGTCCAATTAATCTCACATCATTGATGCAAACGGGCTGCACCAGAAGATGCGTGTGGTTGTCCAGTGGTGTGTCCAACGGGATGAAGAACCTGGCTTGGTTCTTCAAGGATTTAACAGGCCTCTCCAAGGAGCCGCCTCACTACACTCGGCTCGACATTTAGCTGCTGTGAAATTTTCAGGCAATCTTGCTGCACCGTATCATCCCGGGCACGAAGAACGCTGAGGCTAACTAAGTCTAAGAGGAGGGGCTCGTAGATGCCCACAGAAACGTTTCCCAAGTATTGGCGGCCGTGACCATAAGCATTCTCAGACAAATAGACGTTGTACCGGATAACCTGCCAAATGCGAAGCGGGACGTCAAGATAGATGTATGTGTGTGTGTGTGTGTGTTCTTAGACATGTCGCCAGGAACAGAGAAGCGGTTCAAGGCTTGCCCAAGTTGCGAGCCCAAACGCTAAATCCGAAATTCTGGCATGGAGCATGGAACTCGTCGGTTGGCGGATCCCAAGTGAGGTTGCCCGCAAGTTCCCCGCGGTCCACATCGATGTCTAGGAAATCCAGATTTTGGGGCAGAGCGCTGGTGTCGAAGAGGCTGTGTGCAGTTGGAGTGGTCTGCTCCGCGAGAACTGACCTGGAGAGAAAAACAAGAGCTTGACTCAATACACGTGGCTAGGAGAAGCGAACAGCAAGGATGTTTGATGCAGGCCTGCCCTTGAACAAACAACAACATGAGACTCGCACCAACTTTGACGGTGACCGTGACAGGTCGCGTGATGCGCTACGTCCTAAGATGTACTGGGACCTAGGAAGCGGATCGCATGCGCACACCCGGGGAGCTAAGCAGGAAGGGACGAGATTCAGGTCGGCCAATGCTTGCGGCGCGATCATTACTACCGTTACAATACTCCGAATACATCCGTGCAATGTACATATAATCCATGTAACGAGTATGTACTCAAACGATGCAGGGTAAAAATGCCGCTGCCAGTCCAACTTCAGCTTGGGCACTTGGTGTACACCACGAAGCGCGTATAAGCATTGCGAGGTGTTTCTGCAGGTGTCAGGAGCATGTTTGTCCCGAACGGAACGTCCTGGTGCATGGGATGTGCTGCGGGTCCCTGGACCGTTACCACGGACACTCGCCGAGGAAGCTTCTGGTCTCAGAGCTTGAAAGTCTTCGGCTATCGTCCCCTTATTAATGTGTCATTGTCGAATTTGGGGGATTCAGCTGTCCAGGAAAGGTGAAATACCAGGGTGGCCTCAAAATTTGCTTACAAAGCCTTTCGCAGGAGCTCAGGACCGAAGTCATTGATTCTAAGTTTGTCCAACTGAAAAGGCCTGGGCGTGAAACACACACCCGGAAGGTCAAGATGCTTCAGCCTTGAACATGCACCGGTAACAGGGGTGCAGGCTGGAACTATGCAGTGAGCTGGACTTCGCGACTGGCAGCACTTCGAAATGCTTGCACTGTTAAAGGTTCTGCCAGCATGGTAGCAACTCTTTAGACTAAACCACCCCAAATGCGTACCCCCTCCCTCCGCGACACTCCTGCTCGATCTGCGACCGATTCGTCCCGATGTCGTCTAAGGACAAATAAACGACATAGGCCAACACCTTTGTGTCGGCAAGTACCACGCGGAAAAAGTCAAGTCATGCCTAGCCCTCGTTTCGGAGACTAATTGAAGCTTACCATAAGGATGCCACCTTAGTTGTGGACAAGAACCAAAAGCCCGAGCTTGACTGCCCACGTGGCTGCTGGTTGAACCAAGCCGTAGTTAGCATGCAGCATTGGGCTCAGCAGTTTGCCGGGGTCTGTGACGCAATCAGCATCAAGTGTGTTCTCACCAGCTTTGTGAACTCAACCAGCTTGGTTGATGATACGAAGGGACTGCACCTTCGTCTTGGAACATGCATCCATGCATGAACATTGGACCAAACAGGGAAATGGTGAGAGTGAGAGAGAGAGAGAGAGAGAGAGAGAGAGAGAGAGAGAGAGAGAGGGAGAGAGAGAGAGAGAGAGAGAGAGAGAGAGAGAGAGAGAGAGAGAGAGAGAAAGGGAGAGAGAGAGAGAGAGAGAGAGAGAGAGAGAGAAAGAAAGAAAGACAGAAAGCGAGGGAGAGAGAGAGAGAGAGAGAGAGAGAGAGAGAGCGAGAGAGAGCGAGAGAGAGAGACACAAGGAGAGGTCTCAAGAGTGTCTGCCGCACGCGTTTGCATGTGTAAAGGAGTACTTCTTCTCCTCTCTCTCACCGCAAAGAGAGTGACCAGGCAGAAGCCGTCCAAACCAGGAAATTGAGGGCTTTCGCCGGGCTCTCGAAGCCTGCAATAAAATGAGGGGCCTGCTGCTTGTTTCCCGGAGTAACTCAAGCAGCTAACGGCCAACTGCTAACACAGAAATCGGGTCTTGAGTCTGAGATTGGGTCTCCGGAACGTTTTCGACAAATGCACGCGAGAGCAGGATGGCAATAATATGTAAACATAGAAACACACATGTGCACACACACAGGTACATATACTCCAATGCATAACTGTGCATGTACATCTGCACGCATGCATACATATTTACATACATACACGAATACATAAGATACAAGCATACACACGTACATACACTCACATAATTACGACGCACACGAACATACATACACGGACACAAAAGCACATACGCAAATACATACTTTGACATACATGATGGCAGTGCTTCTTATACTATTGTGGCCCTCGTTAATGTGCTCGGACTGCGGCTGATTTAGGTCATGTGGTGTCTTTTTTGTCATCCTTTTGATTGTGCGAATGGCTTCATTTTGTTTCGCCTCTGCTAATGATCCACTGTACTGTAATGTAGGAGAGGGTAGACATGGCTCTTGGCGGCTGGGTGGGCAGTTTGCAGGGAGTGCAGGATGAAGGCAAAAGTTCGAAGGATTTCAGTCTTGGTTGAAACCTTGAAATGGCCCGGCTTAGTTTTCGAGGTTTCGGACCTCGTACTTGCAGCTTTACAGCTTCGGAGTTTTAGGGTTGGGGTGGGCAGTTGTGTAGGATGACCTAGAGGTGTTTTTGGAGATTCAGGGAGATTGGGCCATTGGCGGTTTTATTAGCGTTGTCAAGGCCGGTTTGAGGTGTACTGGCGGATCATGGGGGGTGGGGGGGGGGGGGGGGTTCGGACCGCGATAGCCTCGGACAACTGTCATAAAGAGGATCGAAGACTAAAGACCTTCATGCTGAGGACTGTATCCTTCACACTAATACTCCCCCTACCGCCCTACTACTTTACTGCTACTGCCATTGCCACTACTACTACTACTACTACGACTACTACGACTACTACTACTACTACTACTACTACTACTACTGCTGGTAGTACTAGTACTAGTATAAGTACGAGTGCTCGTACAAGCAGGAGTACGAGTAGTAGCAGTAGTAGTAGGTCGTCGTCGTAGTCGATAAGGAAGTCGAATTAGTAGTAGTAGTAGTAGTAGTAGTAGTAGTAGTAGTAGTAGTAGTAGTAGTAGTAGTAGTAGTAGTAGTAGCAGTACTAGTAGTACTAGTAGTAGTAGTAGTAGTAGTAGTAGTAGTAGTAGTAGTAGTAGTAGTAGTAGTAGTGGTAGTAGTGGTAGTAGTGGTGGTAGTAGTAGTAGTAGTACTAGTACTAGTAGTAGGAGTAGTTAGCAGTAGTAGTAGCAGTAGCAGTAGCAGTAGCAGTAGCAGTAGCAGTAGCCGTAGCCGTAGCAGTAGCAGTAGTAGTTGTTGTTGTTGTAGTAGTAGTAGTAGTAGTACTACTACTACTACTACTACTACTACTACTACTACTACTACTACTGGTACTGGTACTAGTTTTAGTAGTACCTGGTAGTCGCAACAGCGGAGTGGTAGTAGCAGTAGTAGTAGTAGTAGTAGTAGTAGTCGTCGTAGTAGTAGTAGTAGTTGTTGTTGTAGTAGTCGTCGTCGTCGTACTGTAGTCGTAGAGGTAGCAGAAGTAGAAGCAGTAGTACTACTAGTACTGCTACGACGACGACTACGACTACATACTACTACCACTACCAGCATCACCACCACCACCCCGACTAACTACTAGTATCACTGCAACGACAACTACGACTGTGACTACGACTGCGACGACGATGACGGCGACGACTCCTGCTACTGCTGTACTCCTGTTCTACTATACTGGTGAACTACTGAGCTACTTCAACTGTACTACTGTCCTAAAAATAGTATTGATACTCTATGGCCACTGCCCGACTGTACTACGACGTACAAGCGGTCAGACCCCTCTCAGCCCCCGTCCGTCGAGAACGAAGCATTGTCTCGGATGTGCTATGTAGGCCTGGCTACTGGCCTGTCGAACGGCTATGTGACGGTCTGACTGAGTGTGTGTGTGTGTGTGGGTGTGTCTGTGGGTGTGTGTGTGTGTGTGTCTCTGCAGGTGTGTGTGTGTGTGTACGTGTGTACGCACGTAGACACACGCCCGAGTCTGATAACGTATGACATGCACATACGTACTCTCCAAATCCGAGCCAGACGCGGGAGATTCATAGAGGTGGAGTCAAGCCGCTCGATCCCAATCAGAGCCGGGCGCAGTCCAACTCACCACGCCGCCAAGGTCCTCTCAGGGTTCTGACTAAAGAGCTCCATGCCGAGAGCCCAGAGAGCAGAAGAGAGCTCTCCCGGCCTCCAAGTCCAGATCTTTGCCAACAAAGTCAACATTCGAGACGCTGGCATTGGCATCGTGGATTAGGTGATACTGCGGCGTGGTTTGCCTCAGCTTAGACAGGGGCCAAAGCGATTGATGCAAACCACGAGGGCACAGGGCGGGTTCATCCTAATTTCGACTGCACGATTCGGCTGCGACACGAGCAGCGCAGGCTGGCTTCACAAGACCCCAAGATAGCTTCCAACTTTGGAACATGGCTATGACAAAAGTTGAGCTCAAGCAGCTCGACCAAAGCGGAGGACGCATAGATCACAACCTTGGTCCGGCAATGCCATCGCGCGCGTTTTTGCCATCTCTGGACATAACATCGCCATGCAAGTCTTGTACAACTCGCGTGGATGACTCGCAGTCTCTGCTCATCGCCAGGCTAAGCGCGAGAAACCGCAGCTTTTTGGAAATTTCGCTGCCCTTGCAACACTCAGCTCGCCACGTGGCTGTAGCCATTCCTGCGCCGCTCTCTTCACCAGCGACATCACAATCCAAAGACTGCTGTGTGACACAGCTGTTGTTCCGAATCCCGCCAAGGTCCGAAATTCCAGACGACGGTCAAAGTAAGTAGCCTTTATCCACGGTCACACTTGTGTCGCAGGGGTTTGGGCTTCCGCGTGAAGTTTTCTGGCAGAGGCAGGCGCTCAAGCTAAGAGTCTGACTGAATCAGAAAGGTCTTGCAGCAATGTGCCATACACCTTTTCGCCAAGAACACACACACACACACACATAGAAGCAACCATACGCAGTCATTCAGACTCACGAGACAACAAACCCGGAACCCCAGCCGCCCGGTCCGGGGGGTCTCGGGAGGCACGAAAAGCAGGTCGGTACCCACTGGCACCACGCCAAGCTGTGAACGTCCTGAAGCAAAGGCTTAGGGCCAAGGCCTCGGGAGACGAGGGATAGACGAGGAGCTCATGAGCTGGGCCCAGCACTTCCCCCATTCAATTCACAAGGCTTATCCAGGCTCAGCCCTTCGTGTGTGCCAAAGACCCTTTCCATTACGTTATACTCCTGAAAGGAGCCACTTTCTTAAGGAACCTTCAGTGGTCTCGGATCTTCCGGGCTAATAAATGAAACGCCGGAGGACTGCTGCAATCTGGTATACAGTACATACCTGAAGACCTCACTTCTTTGTATTCCATTCACCGGCTCCGGCCAATTTTCTTATGTTAAAATTTCTATTGGCCCTGGGTCCAATTAGTCGTAATGGCTCAACTATTTAGCAGCCACATGGTAGGTTTCGAATCCGGGCAGGAAAAGGCTTCAGAGCTCAGATCGGAATCTCGACGAACGTAAGGATTAGTGCCGAAATAACCCCGAAGTCGACAGAATCTGACCATGGCACCTGACCACGGAAGATGACCATTGTCGCTCAAGCTTTTCAAGGGCATCGAACCATCCGCAAGGTAGACGTAGTACTCCGTGACCTCTCAACGCGCCAGAGGTGTCACATGTCTCGGAGCTCAGGAGGCGCTGGAGTTTGCCTTGCAGATCACCTGTAACTTCTCTAGGACTCCAGGACCAGTCAAGGATCAAAGGACAAATCACTAGACGCGACTTCTAGTGCACGCAGAACAGCCACACTGTCCCACAGTGTGCCCGCATAGCCCGACTCTGCCCGAACTGCGACATGCATTGTCTGCTTGTCACAGTCGATGCGACAAGCAGTCTTCGAGCACGAAGACCAGTTTTCTTTCACTAAGCTAACTACTCCACAAGGAATCCTTGTGAGTTCCCTCGTCCCACCCCGACTCAAGAAACAGCTGGACGTGTGGTGACATCCTGACTGGCACTCTTTCTCGAGGTGTCGAAAGTCCGTGTTCCGAGAATTCGACTCAATAACATCTATTCTCCAAGTAGTCGGCATTGGTCACACTGTCAAAGCTCGGCCTGCTGGTAGACGCCCGGCTCCGTCCATGTAATGTTGGAGCCCAGGTCACCGAAGTCCAGATCAAGGTCTTCGAACACCTGTTTCGAAGCTTGCGTGGCTGGACGTTGGGTCGTGACTGCATCTGAGGTTGTGGCAATGCCCGAGACCATGGAGATCGAGTCAGATAGGACAAGGAAAGCTGGCGTGGTCTGTTCCACCAGGTAAGACTGCGTGAAGATCCTTAGACTTCAAGATGTGCTTGTGGTGATAATGAAATATCCGAGCCGCATGAAAACAGGCTTAGACAGTTGCAGGAAGAGGCACAGCAAGTGAGTGAAGGCCGGGACTTGGGAGATCTCTGGTGGCAGCAGCTCGCGGCCAGTACCTCGGCATTCTAGATCTTCGGCTCCCCAAACCTCGTCTCCGTTACATAAGGGTTGGTAAATTAAAAGGCTGTTGGAAAAGTCTAGCGCAGAGGTTCGTGGTAGCTATAAGGTGGCATCATAGGTGCCTCCATTAGGATGACAACTTGTTTTCTAATACTATAGCTTCCGTGCCGCGCCCGGCCCGGCCGTGCCGAAACGCACCGTACACTACACTACCCTACCCCTACTTACCTACAGTACCTGCCTAGCTGCATGCCCGCGCAGACCTACCCACCCACCCACCCACCCACCCATACCTACCTGCCTACCTAGCTACCTACTTTAATGGACCCGGTTTTAGCTAATGATTTAAAAGTATTATAGAGTTTGACAAGCTGGTAGTAAGCGAGTAGTAACCTAATTATAACCCAGTAGTAAACTGTTCTAAGTGTGATAAACGGTTATTGAAGTTATGTGGGATTATATAGAAGTTATAATTTTTAAGGAGTTTATACAAGAGGTTATGATAGGTTATCTAAGTGGTTAAGCATAAAGAATGTAAGTCGTATAATGGTTATAATCGGGATTACATATCCACTTATCAGACACACACTACTGCCATTTTACTGGGTCACGCTGTCTATATATTTCATGGTTGATATAGGCCCAGAGGCAAGTTGGTGTGCGATTGGAACCAGTTTTTCCCTTGACATGGCGGGATTGTGCTTCTGAATCCGCTTTACCATTGCATCCCATTTGCTGCCTGCATCAAGACAAGGGCTCGAAACCCCGAAAGCATGCAAAGCACAACCGCACAATGCAACACCAAGCTTGCACTGAGCCGGTGTGCTCCGGGGACATCTTTCAAAAATTTGCAATGGCTGTTCAATTCCATTTAAAGTTGAGATCAAGTTTCACGTGCCCATGGCGGCGTTGTACGGTTCGTGCATATATGCAGGTGCAGCTCGAGCCAAGTGCGTTGGAGGCAGTGCACGCGTGGCACAGCGGACAGGACATGCAGAGGATGAATGAAGATGAGGAGGAGGACCATGAACTGCCCCGGAGGGGAACGAGCGCTGATATCCAGCGGGCATGCATGCATGCACAGTTCTTCTGTGCAGTTTGGTATATAGCGCATGGATCGCGAAAGCTGTGCGGGATGCTTCTGCGTCCAAAGAGGAAAAGAAGAAGATTTAAGGTTTTATTTGAAATGAATTTTATTGTTATATATATATATATATATATGTATATGCATATATGCAGGAAGACAATTGAAAGCCGCGCAATCGCATAAATCTTGCCGGTAGCAGCAAATGTTCAATTGTTCATGTGGAGCTGCATAGAGCCCAGAGGCTACAACGCCTGTGGAAGTTCAATTGAGCTTGATTGGAGAAGGGCTCCATGTTTGAAGGCTGAAGTGGAGAAGGGCATTCTGCATGTGCCAGTACGGGAAAGAACGCATGCTTCCGCGCCGCTCCGTCAAGAGAGGGTATAGCTGACGTAGTTGCATGCATGCCTTCACACACGCAGCAGCACGCATGCACAGCAGCAAGCACAGCAGCATGCACAGCAGCATGCAGAGCAGCGCAGCAAGCATGGAGCAGTTATACCTCAAACAGTCGCTTCACTGCACTCTGAAGACTGTAACGCCTTGGGAGTTTACTGCACTTAGAACACTTCGGTCCCAGACCTGGCAGGTCCCTGCAGTCTGAGGCTTGTAACTCCTTATAGAACGGCCACTCTGAGGCCTGTACGCACACACTTCAACATGCAGCATGTAACGCCTTAGGCAGCAACTTCACTGCACTCTAAGACCTGTAACGCCCATAGGACCGTGGCCTCGCGGAGCCATGGACAAGAATGTCGTGAAGGGCATGGTGGACTCCCTTGAGGAGGCGCGTGCAACGCGAACCTTGACCGAGAACGAAGAGCGCTTCATTAGCGAGTACCACCAGGAAGTGAGGGCACAAGCTGCCAGGAAGAAGGGAAGAAGTGCGCCCTCAGAGGCGAAGGAGGACGAGACACTTTCCGAGGAGCCCAGGGTGGGTGGTTTTTTCTATAGTATGTATGTATCTATATATATATATATATCGCTGTATAAATATCGAAACTTGAAGCTAGAAATCCTCATACAAAATATAGAGCTCACTTCTATAAACCTGCTCAAGTCATTTCAGGTTTTTAAATACATATTATATAAGGTTACCTTAAACTACCCCTCTAAACCACCTAACAAATTTAAAGCATGTAGGGTTAATATGTATATATATATATATATATATATATATATATATGGGTTCGATGCCCGCAATACAAAATATCGCGAAGCCTTGAACCCTAAACCTATATAATCTTATTAAAAAACCAGCAAAGCCTGCATGCCAGGACCAGCCGACGAGTCCGAGGACGGAGCCCGACGCGGCTAAGGAGCCCAAGGTGGCTGAAAGGAAGGAGACGGAGTCGGAGGACAGTGCAGCGCCTTCGGTGGCGAAGCGGGAGGCGGAGCAGAGCTCGGAGGGCGAGAAGGCCAAGAAGCTGAAGAAGGAGCGCCGTAGGGCGGAGCGGAGGGCGGAGTCCGAGGAGCGCCGACGCCGGCGGGAGGAAGAAGACCGGGAGCGCAGCAGACGCTTTGAACGGGAGATGGCGGAGTTGAGTGAGAGCATCCAGCGCCAGCGAGAGGCGGAAGCGCAACTATTTGCGGACCGGCTTCGCGAGTGGAGCGACACGCAAGATCGCTGGTGGCGCGAGGCGCAGGAGGAGAGGGCGCGCCGTCGCCGTGATGAGGAGGAGGGGGAGGACCGTCGCAACCGAGGGCGCCGGGACCGGCGAGAGGACAGGAGCGATGATCGCTGGGATGATGGGCGTTATCGCCGAGACGACAGGCGCGATGATCGCCGGGGTGATGGGCGTGATCGCCGAGACGACAGGCGCGGCCATCGCGACCTTGGGCCTGGGCAGTGGCGCCGCTCTGGCGATGATGACACGGACGATGCTTGGTTTTTCTTCGTATACTGTTTTCGGGTTTGTTTACAAAATACTATAGATACAAATATATATATATATATATATATATTATTTATCCTAATCCTGCATATAGACCTTATAATGCGAAAACCTTATGCAACGTTTCAGCTTCAGCCCAAAACCTTATAAGCCCAAAACTATATACATAAACCCTGATATCAACCTTGAACCCCAAACCCCAAAACCCATAAACGCACAACCCTATATAGCCATCTCAGGACTCGTGGTATGGTGGCAGAGGGCGCTCTGGAGGAGCGAGCAGCAGCAGCGACCCCCGTGGCGGGAAGGGCGCCCGTGGTGGCGGCAAAGGAGGAGCGCGCCGGCCGCGATACGAAAGCTACGTAGGGCGCGAACACGAAGCTCCGGATGGAACTCCGTTGGATCGCCGCCGAGGGGGCGCCGTCACGAAGGTCGCCGTGCTGCTGGGCGCGTTTGAACGCGATGGCTTGAGCGCAGACTTGCTCGACATGGCAGAGCGCTTCCAAGACGCTTTAAGTGCGCGCACGACGCGGATTGAGGATGGGTCGTGGGCAGACAAGCTGCGGCGCTTAGTTATAGCGATCGAGAACCAGGACGAGGACATGGTTCAGGAGCTGCTTTACGACTACACCCACAGGTGCAGTTTCCTGCAGAGCGCCCTGGCCAACAAGAAGTGGGAGGATTGGCGGCGGCGGGGCTACGAGGATTAGGGCGTTTACCGCCAAAAGGGCGCCAGTCGCCGGATAGTGGGCGCATGTCGCCTTGTACAGCTTCCAGCAGCGCACACTTGCGGCCTGGGTTTACGGGCTTTATATATATAGCCAGATTAATACGAAGCACATAGGTATAATATATTATAATCTAAAATACAGCTGCAAATGTGTGCCGCGACGGCAGAGCAAAGCGGAGCGTGACGCTTCAGGCTGCAAAAAAAAGAGTGCGCACAACAGGTTTTGGTTTTTAGGGTTTAGGGTTTAGGGTTGAGATTTTACTTTAATGCAATTGTTCAAGTATTTGATTCATAAAACCCTAAACCCACAACGCTTGAACCCAAACCCTTAATCCCTTATCCCTAGGCTTGAACCGCTAAGCCTTAAACCCCAAACCCTCGACCCTAAAGCCTTAAACCCCAAGCTGCCAACCCTTAAGCCTCCCCCAAACCCGTATCCCCCCCTCCACCCTCTTTTGGGCGGGCTTCGGGGATGTGGGGGGGGGGGGCATGGGGGGGAGGCTTGGGGGGGCGTTGGGGGGGGGGGGGGGGGGGGGGGGGGGGGGGGGGGGGGGGGGGGGGGGGGGGGGGTGGTGAGGGGGGGCTTGGGGGGGGCGTGGGGGTGGCTGGGGGCTGCTTGACGGGGCTAGGCAGGGCTGGGCAGGGCTGGGGGGGGCCGAAAATTCCAATTTATATATATAAATTGAAATTTCCAAAAACGGAAATTCCAATTTATATATATAAATTGGAATTTCCAAAAAAAAAATCCAATTTATATATATAAATTGGAATTTCCAAAAAAAAAATTCCAATTTATATATATAAATTGGAATTTCCGAAAATGGAAATTCCAATTTATATATGTAAATTGGAATTTCCGAAAATGGAAATTCCAATTTATATATGTAAATTGGAATTTTCGGCTCCCCCCCAGCCTTGCCCAGCCCTGCCTAGCCCCGCAAGCAGCCCCCACACGCCCCACACCCCGCCCACACCACCACCAACCACCCCGCCCCCCCTGCCCCCACCCGCCCCCCCCGCCCCCCCCCCTCCGCCCCCCCGCCCCCCCGCCCCCGCCCCCCCGCCCCCACCCCCCCCCCCCGCCCCCCCCGGCCCCCCCCGCCCCCTCCCCAACGCCCCCACCCCCAACCACGGCGCCACCACGCGCCCACCCACCCCGACCCCGCCCCCCCCCCGGCCCCCCCCGGCACCCACAGCCCCCCAAACCCCAGCCCCAGCCAAGAAGCCTACGCCCCCCAAGCGACCGCCCCCAACCACCATGCTGCAAATACCGCGTGAAAACAACAGCCAGGCATCCCCCACATCTGCGGGCAAAACCTGGCGGAAGTGATGCGCCACCGAGCAAAAAGCCTGTAAATACTGCATTAAACAAAATTTCACGCATCTGTTGGCAACATCTGGCGGAAGTGAGCTGTGAATCACTTCCGCCAGATGTTGCCCCGTCAACAACCAGCACACCCTCACACCCACAACCCACGCCGCACATCATGCCGAACAACCGGCACAAAACATGCAAACCCACCCCGCGCCCATTCAACCAGCAGCCAACGCCCAGACACCCACAAACCCTAACCCTGAACTATAAACCCTAAAACTCCAAACCCTCAACCCCCTAAACGCCAAACCCCAAACCCCAAGCCCCTAAACCCTAACCCTGAACCTTAAGCACCAAACCCTAAACCTTAAACCCCTTGAACCCCAACTCCTTAATCCCTTATCCCTATGCTTGAACCGTTAACCCTTAAACCCCACATCCTCAACCCTAAACCCTCCAAACCCCAAGCCGCCAACCCTAAACCCTAAACCCAACCCTGAACCGTATAACACCCTATATAACCCCAAACCCTAAACCCACACCCACCCGCCCACCCAAGCAAGCAAGCAGCAGCACGACAGCATCAACGTTAATGGCAACAGCACAACAACAACAACAACAACAACAACAACAACAACAACAACAACAACAACAACAACAACAACAACAACAACAACACTAGCAACAACAGCAGCAGCAACAACAACAACCAGAAACTCATGTTATAGTGGTTCACCATGATATTTATTTATAGATGTTAGTTTTACATATAATTAACACTAAACAAAACCCTATTTAGTTCGTCATGTTGTAGGTCATTCTTGTTTCTACATGAGTATGATAAGTTGATTCACATATATCAATCTATGAATTGCAGGCGAACCGTAAGTATTACTGTATAATACTACAGACATAATTTAATGTTGGGGTTTATACGGTCTATGGAGCCCAAGGTTTAGGGTTTAGGGCACGGGCAGCTGAAACCACAACTTTTTGGCTACTGGCGGACTTTGGACGCTGCTGTATACTGCCACACAGGACACACATCTGCTGGCTTTCGGTCGAAGTGATATACACTGCTTGCATGATCGACGTATAACTGCTCTTCCACGCCGCAGGTGTGGCCTTTAAGACTATATACAACGGCGAAGCACGCCCTCAAGCTACACGGCGGCAAACGCCCTTTTTAGACTCAGTCGCGGTAACCGCGCTCCCGGTAGCTCTGCCACTGACGATTCTGCATGGCAGCCTTGACAGGAGGAGCGTGCTTGTACTCCTCAGCCATATCGCGAATCTCGCGCGCCTGGCTGTGACCAATCGCCGTGCAGAGGCGCCTGAGCTTGTCGCTCCAGCTGTTGGCCTTGACGGGCTCCACGCGTGCAGCGAGTTCATCCGAAAACCGCTCAGCCAGCTCCTTGAGCTCCCTCGCGACACCAGCGCGCTCGTACGTGGCCAGCAACACAGCGACTTTTGTTGCGCCTCCGCCACGGTTCTTGTCCAGTGGCTGACCAACTTGTAGATCCACCTCACGGCCAACGTAGCTCTCGCGATGACCGCGCCCTTTGCCGCTCTTGCCGCCTCTGCGATCCGACGCACCAGCATTGTCCGCGGAGCGCTGCGCTCGCCCCCATGCCTCACACGAGGAAGCTGGAAAAAGGACATTCCGCCACGTTGGGCGCTCCTCCCGCCCCGTTGGGCGCTCCTCCCGTCCTGTTGGGAGCTCCTCCCGCCCCGCTGGGCGCTCTTCTCGCCTCGTTGGGCGCTCTTCTCGATCAAGGGGGCGCCTGTCCCCGCGCCTGTCCTCGCGCCGCTCCTCCCGCCGTGCACGGCGCCGCTCTTCCTCCTCATCCATGTCCTCGCGCTGCCTGCGCCTGTGTGTCTCGCGAAGATCGCGCATCCGCTCTTCGTGTTCGCGCAGCTGCTCTTCCATTTCCACGCGACGAGCGCGCGCATCCTCCTCCATCCGCTCGCGAAAGCGTTCCCACTCCTCGCGCGACTCGCGCTCGTGCCGCCTTTGGCGCTCTGCCTCGTGCTCGAACTCCCGCCGCAGGCGCTGCAGCCGATCCTCCTCCCGCCGGGGACGGCGCTCCTCTTCCCCTTCATCCTCCTCCTCTTCGGTCTTCGCCCCCCTGGGCGCCTGCTTCCGGCGCGCCTCCACCTCTCTGGCCACCTGCTTCGCCGCCGTAACAGGCGCGCCTTTCTCTTCCACCTCCTCGCCCGAGGAGTAATACTCGTACGAGGAGTCCTCTGCAGCTGATGCACCGTGTTTCACCGCGCTCTGCGACGCGCTCTTGGCTTTCGCGCCAGGCACCAGCGGCGCCTGAAACACACCAGCCTTTTTCAGAGCCTCGTACTCAGCGAGAAACCGCTCTTCGTTCTCTGCAAGTTTCCGCGACTTGCGCGCCTTTTTCAACTCGGCAGCGTGCTCTTCCATGGCCGGCCAGGGTGTTACAAAGCAATAAGCTATACTCTGTCTGTGACTTACTTATGTATATATGATTTATATATCTATATACAGCACATATGTGCTCGCCACTGACGAGTCACAAGTATAGAAATGCATATGTACATGCTAAGTTCAGTGCCAGGGAGTTAGTATAGTCTACAGCGGCAGAGATGTAATTCCAAAGTGGTGCCGTGCTTCATCTCTTGTTTCCCGGTCTGTGAGTTCTGCCGTGTCCGCATGTCTCTGTGCATGTGTGTGTGTGTGTGTGTGTGTGTGTGTCAGTGTGTGTGTGTGTGTGTGTGTGTGTCTTGGCCCCGGGGCGCTTGCACTGTACATGAGAGCGATGAGAAAGCGGCGCCGGTCATATACTCCAACTCAAGTGCATCACGCGTGATGAAATCCTTCTTGGGAAGTGCACCTGGATGGGGTATAATAAAATCGTTGCTGGGAGGTGCTTGTGCTGTTCTGAAGCAACCATGCAATCAACCTGTCAGGCAGGGGTACATATAAGTCGTTGCTGGGGCGTGCTTGCACTGTTCTGAAGCAACCTGTTCGCCTGGCTTGGGGCATCTTGCGGTGCGCCTGCAGCAACCAAACCTGGCAGCCACGATTATGGGGTAAAGTTGTCGTCCCGCCAGGATTGGGGTAAAGAGTCAACCAAACAACCTGTCAGCCAGGCTTCGGGCTAAGTCGATGTTGCAACAACGACGTTGTATACCTCCCATGGAAGGTGCTTGCGCATGTTCTGAAGCAACCAAGCAACCTGTCAGCCAGGATGCGGGGTAAAGTCATTTTGAGCAGGTTCTCGCGCGCTGCAGAAGCTGCCGTGCAGCGGGAACAAACTCCATTCTACACGAATTTTGGCTTGGTAGGACATGAATCTTAATAAAATCATAAGGTGCACCTCCGAAATTCTATAGTGCACATACCAAATATTGTTGGCTTAAAGCCTAGATCATAACCACTATAACCCTCTACATAACCCTTTACATAAACCCTTCCATAACCACTTATGTAACCATTTATGATAACCACTTGACAACCCTTTACTAACCTCCATAACCCCTATAAGTCACTAGCTAAAACCCGGTCCATTAAAGTACTAATTTTTGCAGGCCCCTATGACTACTACTGACCCCTAGATGGCTTTTTGCACTCGCGCATCATCGGCATGCCCAGTCATCTTTGCTAAGTTTGGTTGTGAATGGAGCGGTAAGCGCCGGACCGACCGGCACGATGCTGCCAACCCGGCTTCGGTTAGTGCCCAGTTCATCCTCTGCGAAGTAGAGAAGATAGTCCTTCTCCGGTGTGGGATGCACACACACCAAGAGCTGTTCAGGCACAGCAAACTGACCTGTCAGCTCGCGGGGGGGGTAAACTAAATGCATTTTTACTACAAGTAAGCCAAAGTATCCCCTACAGCACTCCATATCCCACCAGCAACACGAGCCTGAACGCGGCTGGAATCTGCAGGCTCTTGCCACGTAACATTTCCTCCGAACTCGAGCGGGTCGAGATCCTGACAGGGCTTATCGGGCCTTCGAACCTTCGACTCCCGTGTAGAACAGACGCATTCGACGAATGAAGGGCAGGGGTGTTGGCATGTTCTTCTTGAGCCTTTCAGTGGATTCCGGCAGTTTCTGCTGTCAGCATATGCTACTATTGAAGCCGAAGCCTCAGATGTCGCGAAGTGGTTGCCCCTACAAGTTCCATGCGCAAAACTTCGCCGAGGCACGTCATCAATGAACTCGATTCCTGCATGGCGCCGCGGCAACATGATGGTTTTCGTCTTAGGCTTGGATGACTATGACACCGAGGATGCTTTCATGCTCTCAGGCCAAAGCAAGCGTCTGTCATTCGCTCTACAATTGCTTCCGGGTTCAATTTTCTTGGCTGCCTGTCTTCTCTCGTCCATCGCCCTGTCCTGAGACGGTCGCCGTCGCGTCGAAGATTTGATGTGCAGTCGGTGTGGATTGTTCCACCTGGCAGCTGCACAGAGTCTGTTAGACACACCATCTCGGGATTCAGAATACAATTCCAGGAGATTTTGCGCAAGAAAGTCATCGCAAAGAACCGAGAGTCCGGCCAACGACGAAGCTGTATAAATAACCTCAGAAAAGACAGCATAACGACAATCAAAGACAGCCGCAATTTCCGATCTTCAGTTTATCCCGTTCCCGATCCAAAGCGGAAGACGCCAAGAAACGAAGTGGGTGAAGTTATCTCGGGGCGTGTCCACCAACACGGTGGTCTGGAGCTCCGGCTTCTCCACACTTCGGTAAGCCTTCCTGCTTACACGACATGGCGCAAGGAGTTTATAGCACTGTGGCGGCGGATAGCGGCAGCAAAGGCTTGAATCTGGATGTCATACTCCGAACGTTCAGTGCTAGTAACGGCTATTGAGAGGCATGGAAGGTTTCTCCTTGCCTGCACCAAGCGAAAACGGCGTCGCTGGCGGGGTCCACGACGTCCTGCGAAGGCCGTGAGGTGGCTTGTAAAAACGGAAACGTCGAGGTCGCGGGTTAGGTGAGGAAGCCGCCGAGTTGCAAGGACGTACTTGTACCTTGTGGTACAAGTACATGAATAAAATCCTCGACCAGGAAAGATGCACCGAAACTTCGAGGTCCTGGGCAGACAGTTGCCTGGTCACTGCATAGCTTTCCGGATCATCTTCTGGCCCCCCTTCGCCGCTGTCATGCCTAAGATCGCGCAGAGTCTAACAAGCCACTTGTACGCAACAAACGCATTCGACCGGCACGAATAGCCTTTGAACAAACTTTGACATCACAACCGAATTTACTCGACCCCAATGACGCTAAGGACTAATAAGGTCACTGCAAACCCTGTCAGATCACCCCCTGAAGCCCACACAACCAAACACACACACACACACACCAACCAACCAACCACAATCGCAATAACCACAACAACAAGAACAATAACAAGGACTGACTAGCAACACACAACAAACACCAGTCACTAAACAAAAAACAACAAACAACAAGAAAACCCAGCAGCAGCAACCACAGCAATCACCACAACGACAAGGACAAGGCCAACAATTACAACACGACCACCACCAACAACAACAGCATCAGCAGCAGCACCACCACCAACAACGACAAGAAGCAACACACAACGAGAAGCACCACACACACACACACACACGAAACAACAAACAAAACAACACGAAACATCCAGCAGCAACAACAACATCACCACCACCAACAACAGCAGCAAGAAGCAACACGCAACAAGAAGCTACACACGCGAACAAAAAAACACGAAACACCCAGCAGCAACAACAACTGCAACAACGACAACAACCATTTGTACGACATCACCACCAACAACATTTCATTCACACGCAGCGGGAGGATACTGTCTGAGGTGAAACTTAACGTCCACGCTTTGCGAGGGATCGACCTGCTGCTCTGCTTGCTACTTGCGCGGTCACTTCATGACGAGCCGTGCCTTAACACAGCACTCGCACACGCTCCGCCCCTCAAGGCTGCAAGCAATGAAGTCGGAATCGGACGTGTCGTCAGTGACTCGAGCTGCAGACTCTGGCACTAATGAGGGAGTTAACCGGCTGATTTGCAATGTATCGCTGACTGATTGGCGACGTCCATTTTGCACACTGCTGTCTCGCGAGAGTGTCTAGCCGCGCTGTGAAGGCTCGGTACGAACCACTAGCTCTATGTTATAGTAGAGGCGGTGAGGCAATGAAACACTCAGTAAAGGCAGGCCAGGCGCCATTTCCAGCCCGTTGTTGCTATTTGTAGATGGCGGAGCACCTCCTGCCGGACTTGTGCTGGTGACATGAAGCTCTCCTGTCCCTGGATGGGAGATCGTTGAGGTCACAGCCTTTGGCGGTGGTCCCAGGGGAGAAACTCCTCCCGGGACTCCACCTTTCACTGGCACTCCAGGTGCCTTACCTGGTCCCGGTGTCCGATCTGTGCTAGATCCATTTCCTGACAGGTTAACACGCATCGGAGGCGGCGGGCCCTTAGGCCCAGCTGCTTTGGGGGCTGCTTTAGGGGCTGCTGTGTCTTCGGAGTCGGACTCCCGAATGGAGTCACTGGCTGGCGGCGACCTGGATAGGTGGGGCCGACGTCGCACTGGAGGAGGGGTTCGGGAGGTCGCTCTGTTGCCACTCTTCTTCGGTGTTTCAGGCATGGCTTCTACAGTCGAGACAGCTGGTGAGTTGATCCTGTACGAGAAGGCAAGTAGAGCTTCCAGAAAACTTTTGGCTGACAACTCACTTGCAGATCCGGGCCCACGACTGCGCACGGAGCTTCACATGCGACCTCGGGGTATACTTGCTGTCTGGTGATGAAATTGAAGTGACCTTCAGCCTCATAACATAGATTTTTGCGTGAGCAGCTGCATTCTCAGTGTGGGGAGGGACTCCACCATTAGGTGAGGGTCCTCACGATCAGAGCGGCCTGTTGTCGCCTCCGTACTTAGTACCTGATTTCAGGCTCTGGTAGTACTCTATGACAGAAGGGGGCACTTCAGAAGGGGTGAGAATGACGCCGTTCTTGCTCCGGAAAAATTGCACCCCTACCTGCATGGCTCTGCGTGGATCGACCGCCACCAGCATCGACGAGCTATCTCTGAATCCAGAAACACCAGGTCTCCCATAGTCCCGATCCGAGACGAAGTGAACATGCTGTCGTCCCTCTCTGCCACGTCCGCCTTTGCCGCGGCCCTTGGAAATCTTGTTCTTAGGCAGAAGGCCTCGTTGGCGTATGGAGTCATACAAGGACCAGAATGTGCCATGATACAGCATTCTGGGGAGCATCTCCTCCGTGAGTTCCTCCAACACCTCATTGGAGTCCACATCAGAGCGAGAATGTCCTTGCAGAGCCCTGATGTACTTCTTGCCTTGGCAATCGCCCAGCTCGTACCTGCCTTTTGCGTTACTCCGAACGACCTCCATGAGGTCGCCTGCCGTGGCGTGCTGGGCCTGCACTCTTGGCCATCTCAGGACGTCCTCTAATTTGGCCCAACCAGCTGAAGTGCCGCTGATGTAGGGTTTATGTCCGTGCCGGAGCGAAGCTGCTAGAGCCTTCGAGACTTCGAACGAGAAGTTGCTCTCCGGCTTCGTAGAGGCAGTGCAATAGTCCCCTAGATCGCCTGGTTGGCCCTCCCAGGCCACTATAGTTGAGCTGCGTGGCGTTGTTGAGCTGTGGTCAATCTCTGACGCCATGGTCGGGGGAGAAACTCCACCCTGAGAGCTGGACGCCTGCTCACAAACCGGAAGGGGAGCAACTCCGCCTTCCTTGACTCCACTTGACGAGGCTTCGCCAGGCAGCTCGTATCCCAACGCCGAAAAGGATTCCCGTGCTTGTCTCAGTGGTATCTCCAACAAGCCACTCCACTCTCGGAGGTACTCACCTAAGGTGAGTGTCTCCTTGGTTGATATTTGCAGTAGCAGCGCTCGGATTTTGACTGCATCATAGGAGTATATCAGTTGGTTTGTTTTCTTACCACGTTTTTGCGATCCAGAGTGCGCAGCCTCCCCCTCAAACATGGGCCGCACGAATATGTGCCGAGGTCCTATCCTCACCAGACAACTGTAACCGGCAGCAAGATGCCTGTTTGACATCCTGTGAAGATACACGCCTGGTCGTGCCTCGAAGCTTCGCGTGCCGGAGAGGTCAGGTGTCGAAGGTAGTAGCCTGCCTGTGGCCAGTATCCCATGCAAACATTCCAGGTGTGTGCCGTGGAACGCAACCTCGCTGTCCCCTGCAGGAAGAATGTTCGGTGAGGAATACTCAAAACGAAACCACCCATTCTCTTCAGCTGTGGGATATCCAAGCTTCGGATGCAGAGGCTCATTGGCAAGTCCCCGGCGAGAGGCCAGGAAGGTCTCCAGGAGAGCATTGGCTACCTCCGGGGAGGGTCGTTCCACCTGATTGAGGCCATCTCGCAGCTGCTGAGTTACTGTCACCATAATTCGGTGATTGTTCAGGTCAGTGATGTTCCCATCACAGTCTGAAATCAGACTGGGAAAGGGGGTATAACCAGCTGACTGAAGAACTTTGATCGCAGCTTCAGTGATGGGGTCCCCCGAGGGAGGATCTCCACTCTTGGCCTTTGCTGCTGGGGGAGTATCTCCACCCTCGCTTTGCCCTGTACTTCTTTTCTTGGAAGGAGGAGGAGGGGGAGTGACTCCACCCTTTCCGCTTCCCAGCTCTTCCTGTCCACCAGTACCTTTAGAGACTCCTTTATATGCAGGATAGCTTTCGCCGTGAGCACGAGCGGAGCGCCTCCCCTGGCGCAGGAAATTGCGATACGTGACATGCGGAAGTTGTTCACGTATCCGTCGCTGGCAGAATTCCTCGTACTCCGCTTGAAACGAGGGATCCTGTGTTGACTCAGGTCTGGACATGATGCTGAGTCTTGAGAGAAAGCTGCGGTTGTTGGCTCAAGCTGGCTTCTAAGCAGGCAGCTGGGCCTAGGCCACTGAGCTCCAGACCACCACGAGGAGACCTGCATCACGAATGGTGGATTGCTGTTGGCTCAGTGTAGCTCAGTGCAGGCAGAATTATTGCAGGCAGCGACTCAAAGCTTTTAAAAACCCCTAGGGAGAGACTCCGCCAGCTGTACACCCCTCGTTGGGGGAGAAGCTCCACCAACTAGGGGAGAAGCTCCACCTGTGACTCTTTAGTTCAAAAACCCCTGGGGAGTAGCTCCGCCAGCTCTACGCCTAACGAGGGAGAAACTCCTCTCTTTGTTACAGGAGCTCTTGCTTAGGGAGCATCTCCTCTTCTCACTTGGCTCAGGAAGTGGCGGCCATGAGGTGATTGTAAGATACCTCCCACGTCGCCGAGGCCAGGTTGAGTCTACCGTCTTCAGCAAAAAACTGAGACCTCAACGTCTGCACATCAGCTTGATATGCCTCTTGGTACTCAGCAGGGAGATATTTGGCGATGTATCCCGTGATATGGGATTCTCGTTCCATTATCTCCAAGTCGTACCGGTGGTAACCGAGGCTTGCTGGGGAAAGCAGGTCTCCAGCGTGGATGCGAACCAAAGAGAGGTACTGCATCCCCTGTTCGACCAGGGCTCTTCGTCTTCTGTGCCGGATTTGTCCCCATTCATCGATTCCCGATATGGAGTGGAGGTGTGTGAGCACCTTGCGAATCCCACCTTCCGGGAGTATCTCCACGGCAAGGTTCAGGATCTCATCCTTAGTGATGAGCCCAAGCCCCTTCACTCTCTCTAGCAGCTCTGTGAGCACGGCCCAGGGGAGTATCTCCACACCTTGGGAATTCTGGTGCAGAAAGTGCACCGCTGCTATCGTCGGGAGCAGCATCATGGCCAGTCGAGTTGGCGTCTGATCATACATGGTCGAGGAGTTGAACCACAGTCTGATTGATTAGCTTTTGAGCCTGAGAGCTTCGTCATGGAGGAACATGTGCAGCAATTCAAGCGGTGCCAACATGAGTGCAGTGCTCCGCGGGAGGGCCTCCTCGCCATTCGTCGAAGACGCTTCAATCTCCTCACGAGCATGAGCATGCTAGGGCAAGGGGCTAGGTGGGAGCAACTCCTCTTCGTGAGATTTGCTTCGCTTCTACTGAGCTCTTGGTTCCAGTACCGCCCACTCGTGGGGCAAAGCTGAAGAGATCTTGTCCTCTGGAGAAGATTAGGAAAGCAAATCGCGAATCTGACGAACCAGCGGCGATGG